TAGGATGGCGATACTCACTGACGATGCCGGCGAAACGTTTGGGAATGTACCACGTCCACGGTTCCACTTTGGAAATGATTATGCAGACAATTTACTCCGAATTAGATGCGTTCCTCTAAGTATTCCTATCAATATGACCATGTTGCGAAAACAAGGTCAAACAACCTCTATAAAAAGTCATTTAAAGCTTATTCTTTATTCTTTACCGATGGTTATTGTATTTCCTCTTTCCTGTCCAATTCTTATAATGAATAAACTCATTCCATTAAAAAGAATATAGATTCTCTTTTAAAATTTTCTTCACTCTTTCGCCTTCTTTGTTGACGATACGAGAATAAAATATTATTTCCTTGTGGGATAAGGTTACGATTCTAACTACATAGTAATTTATTTTCAAAATAAGGTGAATACATCTCATAGTAATTTAGTAGCACTGACTCCACTCTAAGAATAAAACTTACTAGGATTTGCCGCCATTTTGTACCTACGGCCTCGTTCCTGATCCCATTTTTAGTTCTATTGAGAGTCGGGTAGAGTGAAGTCTATCTTCGGTACAAGAATAGAAGTCCCTTTGTGAAGCCTGAATAAATGAAATTTAAAAGGCACATTGAAGACCTACGCCTTCATAGTTGACAACCGAGAACGATCCTGAGTTGGATCAGCGAAATGGTTTGCTGTCACATTCTCTTCACAAAGATCCACTGATAGTTTGGAATAATATTTACTTCATATATGCTTTCCTTCATCATTTAGCCTAATTTACTTCACTTCGTCCTGCATTTTTGTTGAAATTTTACATCAAGGACACAAGGGGCATCCTAGTCGGAATGTTTTATTTAACCATCGACATTAACAATACTACCGATAATAGTTACAATGGCTGCAGTAATAATCAAGTAAGGCTGACTAAATCCGCCTTCTCTGTTCTGTTTCAGTCCAGCCTGTTCTTCCCGTCCCCCCCCTGCTACTGCTCTGGAGTCATCTCAGTCTAGGCCATATCTAGCCAGTCTGGCTGACGAGCCGATGGGAGCCTTTGCCCCGGCATTTTTCCCACAGACCTTGCAGTCAGGCTCTCACGAGCCAACTTCAGCTACCTCCATAATTCCGGATGCTTCGGCTCGAGATTATCGGGAAGCTGGCGTCATTCCCACACCACCCTCTGGTCAAATGCCAATCCCTACTGTCCCCCTTGAGGCCCCTTTGCGGGTCGAGACAACTCATCACATGCTTGCTAAGCAACTGGCTGCTTCGCCACGATTGCAATCACGACCGGGTGCGTATTCCTACATGTTGCCATTCTCACAAATGTATATGATCAATCATGTATATATATACATTCAATTTAGATAGTAACATTTTTACATGATTTCTTATTGATTGTGATGATTATTTTTGCATGTTTTGAAATCGGGTTCTGAAGAGTTTTTTATACACATACTTTTATTCCTTTCATTTAGTGTGGCAAATTGGGCATAAGATACCGATTTTTAATGTAGAAATATTGAATTATAGTTTGTTTATTTCAATTTAATTTGCTCTTCATCTTTATCTCAGCTGCTTTCCACATGCAGTCCTCTTATCCTTATGATCTATCATGAGTTTGGGTCAATAAGTCGACTGAACTCTTCAGTATACAAGTATCAAATAAAGACCCACAACCATCCCCTGGCTTCAAGGTGAAGTATACATAGCCTTTTAATTGTTCATCTTCAGTTATGTCTTTTTTTACCTTGGGCGACATTCGTGTTAAGAGTAACGAACTTCGCCCACTAGTCAACTTGAGCCAGCTAACAGACGCAAATTATTATAAAATATTGAAATATACCTCTCGAGATCATTTAGTTTAGAGTAAAATTGGAAAATATTCCTTTTGTCGCACTGTACATGGCACAGTTCGCTAGAATTGGAAAGCAACTTAATTTTTGGGCTTCCCCTTCGTCATGCATCTGTAATAAGAAGCAGGTGCTTTTGCTTTGCATTGTGAGCACTAAGGGAACAGCTTTACGGAATGGAGAGTTTGCCAAGTTAATTCTCGTTATCCGTTTTGTCGTTTGATAACTGACCATAAGTACAATGCTATACGACGAAAGCTTATCATGTTTCCACCGGAATCGAAGGAGATTGCATCGGAAACAGCGCAGGCATGAATCTTCCAGTAAAGCCAATCGACAGCTGGTCAAGAGGAATCCGCCGTCGTCTTCTGGTGGAAC